CTAGTCATCCAATTATCCATTACTTCTTGATGGGTCAAGGGGAGAGCTGCAACAACCTCCTCAAGCCTGAGGGTCTTTTCCCAACCAATGTAGGGAGCCTGATCCAAGATAGGGATACCAAGCAAATCAGAGAACTCTTCCAGGGTAGGGACCAGCTGGAAGTCTTGAAAGGTGAAGCACTGGTACAGAGGGTCATAGAACTGGGTCAGGACACTCATCAGCTGTTGGTCCCACTTTGACGTGACTAAACTGAGAAGAGAACCATGCCTCTGGATGAAGGAAGTAGTATTTGGAATTCTGCTAACCAACTCTTCAAGCAACCCAGGTGGGTGAACAAAGTTGAACCGGATAGTATTCCTTCGCATAGGCATCATGATGTCCTACAAAACAGAGCAAAGGTGAAACCCTCTTGTCTTTGAAATGGTCAGTCCTTATGCAGGATGCATGTAATGCTCATGATGGCATGATGTTATGATAAAACACACCACAAATATTTACAAAGGCAAACATGATAAGGCACACAAGTCACACAAGACAAACCCTTAAAGTTTAGGCCAGCATGGGGTCTAGGTATTACCCTCTTTCAGTTTGTTGGTTCATACCTGTCCTAAAAGTAATCGGGTTCTTAGAGGATCCCAATATCACCGACTACCCTCAATCGGTCATAACTCCAGCATCGCAATCTTTTCTTGCGGCCAGAACCATCACGAGAGTTTAGCCTCAATGGGCGTAGCTTACTGCTACTGTTCTATTGGCCAAGTTGTGTCATTTAAGGTTCTAAGGTTTATTGGTGCTTAATGACTCCTCAGAAGACCCATATTCTCCTCGTTGCAACACAAGGGATATCGGTACAGACCAAGGTGCCACACCAACGTAGCCACTGCTTCACCCATGTCAGTCTACGCCGGACAGGTCCCTCACAGCTTATGCTACCTAAACAGGGTATCCCCAGATCCGGGTTAGGATCTATGTAACTCCGATGCAACCCACAATTTAAAGCAAACAAGTCAAAACAATTGAAAACACAGTTATGAACTATCCTAAGGTACACCTCACTTTAAGAATTCCCCAACAGAGTCGCCAGTTTTGTGATCGGTGGATTTGGAACTGACTGTTTAACGCTGGTTCGCGAAATGTCGCGGAAGCAAGAGTCGCCACCGTCTTTTATTTTCTCCAACATGGACAGGACAAAAGCACAGCAAAATTCCTTGTGAGATAGTTTCTCGGTTCGGGAGGTAGATTTATAGAAAGGGAAGGTGTTAGCACCCTTTCTATCCATGGTTATCCATGGGCTCTTAGATACTTGCTCATTTGTGTTTTCAAAAGTGTTTGTTTTTCAATTGTGAGTGAGTTTGAAAAAGTTTCGTTTAAAGTTTTCAGATCGACTCTTGTATCAGTCCTCAAGAGTGTTTGAAAAATTGTTTTGAAAGCTTTTTGAAAGTGTCGGTGTGAAAAGGTTTTTGTTTGTTTTTTGAAATAGAGCAAGTATCTATGAGTCATCCACCTACCCTAAGGAATTAAGTTGTGTAAGTGTCCTTTAGGTAGTGCCATCCCACCATTGAGAGGTAGGTAGCACCACCGTTGGAGGTGTTCGGGTCAATTCGAGTGTTAGGGACAGTGTGGTCACCGAAGCAATGGTAAGACACCTTAGAAGCTACCCCCATGCCATGTTCATGGACATGAGGACTTACTAAAACGTCCTATACTCGACGACCACGTTTCGAAGGGCAAGGCAACAGTGAGGCGTACCCTAGGAGTGGTGTGTGAATTATGTGTCATTTTCAGTTATATTTGTCTTGTCATGTATTGAGTGAGCTACGTTTTGATTTTATTTGGGCATACATTCTTTCATGTGATTAACAGTTTAAAGGTGCGGAATTTAAAGTGCGGAAAATAAAAGTCCTACGCTATTACAAGGCGCGGGTCTATACATCGCCAAATTAACAAAGACCCGATTTTGAATAAAGAAAATGCGGAAAGTAAATATCCTAATTACTATTACAAAGCTTTGGGGCAAATACATTATATTTACAAAAGAAATAAATGCGCGAAAAGGAATTATAATCGAAGGTGCGAGGGCGTTGGACCCTTTAAAGATTAGATTGGAATTTAAAGTAATTAATGATTTAAAGAAAGAAAAGGTTATTTTTTATGGTTTTTGGTATTTATGAAAATAAATAAAATTGATTACAATTGGAAATTAAATAAAACCCTAATTCTAAATCGTTTTTAATTATTAAAGAAAATATTTAAGTTTAACCTAATTTAACCCTAATTAATTAAATGTCATATTTATTTACAAGATAATTAATAATTAATAATAATAAGAAGGAAAATTTAATTATTGAGAAAAAGAGTAAAAATGCTAGAAACCCTAATTTTTATGTTTTTTTAGTTATTAGGAAGTAAATTAAAATTAAAACCCTAAATTAAAACTAAATTGATCATTAAATTTATTTACAAAATTAATGGAAATTAATATTAATGAAACATATTTTTTATTTTATGATTTTTTTGTTTCTTTTTATATTGTAAAAATTATTTTGTGGAATTAATTAAAACAATAAAACAAATTAAAAAAGGAATAAAAAAGGAAAAGAAAGTAAAATTAAAAGGAAGAATACAAACAGCAGGGGGGTGTTTGGCCCCTTTGGAGGTGTTTTTTATGAGAATTTTGGCCCAATGGAACAAGCCCTGTTTGACTTCTCTGATTGAGTGGGACATAGTTGACCAATGCGTATGGTGGATTGCTGGTGATGGCCATTAGATTGGCCTTCAGGGACATGTGGCAAGCACAGATCTGGAGTTGCATGGTAGCCTTTTGGAAGCGTACTACACAGAATCATGTTAGAGGAAAAAATATTGAATAAAGTGGGTACGTTTACCATGTTAATGCTTTTCCAGTTGTGCTGCTTGCGTTCTTTGATAATATAATGGGACACAAATATTATAATGAGGAAATAAAGCTAATGATATAAAACAATAAAAAAACGCGCCAGATTCAAATGCTCTAGTCACATGAGGACACGCCAGCTTCATCTTCTTCTTTCTGCAAAAATATCAAACAAGTAGCGGGGGTTTTAAACCCCCACTAAATAATACAGTGGATAATAGCGATTAGCTCCTGGGCATATATAAAAAAAGCGCGAGGTGATGATTGTGTTCGTATGAAGGTCCTGGTTTCAATGGTATAAGTTTCGTGGCCTAATTTTTCCAGATGAGGAATGTAGCGGTGAAAATCGGAGATCAAGCTATTAATTAACTTGACTCACAAAAGCAAGAGTCACCACCGCGCTTTATTATTTCCAAGGGAAAAGGGGAAAGAGCGAAATAAAACCCTAAAATATGCAATGTAAAGTAATATTTAAAAGTAATGAAAATACAATGCGTTTTTAAAAGAGATCGAGAGTTCGGGGGTTGGTTATACAATGGGAAGGTATTAGCACCCAATATATCTACGGTGCTCCGCAGGAACCTTTTGAAATATCTGTTTTTTGGTTTAAAATTGTTTATTTGATTAAAATGATTCGTTTGGCTAAAAGATGGGTATGGACGAGATTTTTGAAGATACGACGACCTAGTGTCGAAGTTTTGACTTAAAAGGTGTGAGTTTGAAAATGGAGTCTTTTGGGAATATTATCTTGAGTTTAGCAAAATAGTAAACAAACAAAAAAATGAAAAAGGGTATTCGCACGATCGGATGAGATGTATTTGATGACGTGAAGTCAACAAATTTAAATCTTTTCCTTGGAGTAAGCAAAATAAAATGAACATCAAAATATAAACATTCAGAAGTTCACAAGAAAATAAATCTGACAAAAACAAATTAATGATCAAGAGGCACCGAGAAATTGAAATGACAGAAATATACAAATAAAAAGGAATATAACTAATTATCTAAAGAAGTTATTCGAACTAAATTAAAAATTACTTACTAAAATAATTCTAAACTAATTACAAATTCTAAGGTTATAAAAAAAATCTAGTATTATTGAATTTGATCTAAATTAAACTAAAGTTTTAAAATTTAGTAAGTTAAATCTAGATTAAATTAAAATCCTAAGGTTACTAAATTAAATCTAAAACAAATGAAAATTCCAAAGTTACTAAACTAAATCTAAATCAAATAAAATTCTAAAACTACTAAACTAAATTTAAATCAAATAAAAACTCTAAAGTTATTAAACTAAATAAAAATTATAAACTTATTAAACTAATTCTAAATAAAAATTATAAATTTATTAAACTAATTCTAAATCAAATAAAAATTCTAAAGTCACTAAACTAAAACTAAACAAATAAAATTCTAAAGTTAACTTAAATAAAATCAAATAAAATTCTAAAGTTATTAAACTAAAACTAAACAAATAAAATTCTAAAGTTAACTTAAATAAAATCAAATAAAATTCTAAAGTTATTAAACTAAAACTAGACAAATAAAATTCTAAAGTTAACTTAAATAAAATCAAATAAAATTCTAAAGTTATTAAACTAAACTAAAACAAATAAAATTCTAAAATTTACTAAATGAAATAAAATTCTAAAGTTATAAAATAAATCTAAACTAATTAAAGAATTCTAAATTAATATTAAACTAAATTAATTATAAGATTTACTAATATTTTTTATATATTTTTTTTAAGATAAACAATTGTTTTATTTCATTTTTTTTCATTATTCTTTTTAGTTTCAAAATTTATTTAATAAACAAAAATAAAGAAAACAAAATAAAAAAAACGCATGCATCAGTGAGGAATTTCCACCTCATGTGCTTACTCAAAACAAACATAACCTTTGCCAGAGCCCCAATGGAAACAATCTTCCTCTTCCTCTTCGCTGGCCATGGCTGCCTAACAACGATAGGAAACAAACCTTTCCCCCTCGGAATTTCGTGCGAACGGAGTATGTTCCTTGCGTTTCGGCAAACTTGCTTAAATCAAAGAGCTTGAAGATGATTGATGTGCGGTGAGTGAAGAGGTAGTATACGGTTTGAAGGTGGGTTAGCGGAATGGGTTGTGAGACGGTTGTGGATACGGTGGAGGTTGGGTTACAGTGAGATGATGGAATGGGTTGTTGTTATTCTTGTTTGGGAATGGAGAAGGTTGAGGGAGATGGGTGGTGGTAGACAGTGAAGGAGCAGCAGAAGATGGTGTGTGTCCTCGTGGGGATATGACAACAAGGTTTAATTTCTGACCCTTTTCACAATTTTGATCAGTTCCACTAATGAAATAGAATGGTCCAGATCGATCCAAAGTAAACTCTGTGTTACCATCTTCCAACTTTTTGATTGGGTTTGTTTTGTTGCATTTATCATAAGCTTCTTTTGTCACTTCCAACACCGAGTCTGAACCCTTCTTGTACTTGAAAACTAGAACGTCGTTGACTTAGAACCTGTTTCTCCCTGACCATTCGTTGTAATTCTCGGAAGGCTTTAGAGACCATCCAGCGGTTCCGCCGATATCGAATTTGAGAGCTTGGGAAGTTGAGCCAAGAACAAACAAGAGAAAGAGAGGTGTCTTAAAATCCATAGTAAGATATGAATGGATTAAGGGGTGTGTATAATATATAATGTCAATTAGAGAGAGAGAGAAGAAAGTAGTAGGTGGGTTCATGAACAAAGGTAGATGAAATATGGTGATGACAGTAAGCTACGAATGTTGAGATTCCAATTAAAGTTCATAATGGAGAGGTGGGTACCGCGGGGAGCTATGGCTCGGTGGGTTTACGGTAGGAAGGGGTGATTGAATGGATGGTAGTGAGAAGAAACAGAGGCGGAGGGATTTGCTGATGGGAGGGGTTTGTAGCGATTGGCAGAGGGGTATTATACTGTGTTGAAGAGGAGACGGAAGGGAGGAAGAAGGGATTTGTTATGGGATTGTGGGTTTTGTGTAGAAATGGGGGTAAGAGAAATAGAAGGGAGGTTGTGTGATGTAGAAAGGTTAATGAGATAAAGATAAAGGATGCTGTGTTGAGTGAAGAGAGGAGGGAGGGTAGCAAGTGTGGAGAGAGGGAGTATTACTGGGTGAGTTGTTTTTGTTGTGTATAGAAGAAGAGAGGAGAGGTTATTGTGTATTGAAAGTGAGTTATGTTTTGGTGATTTTGTATCGATCCTCAATTTCATCCAACAACCAATAGGAATAGAGTATAGTGTAAATAATATATTTTGTGATCAAATAGTCCTTAAATGATAAAAATAACCAAAAAACTAAATGTATTAAAATTAACTCAATTTAAAATGATTTTTTTTTAATATTTTATGAATAAAAAATAAAGACCCAAAATGACCAAAAATGATAAAAAAACGGACGAAATTTTATCCGAAAAAATAAAATGAACACATTAAAATAATCTACATGTCACAAAGATTAAAGAAAAAATATTCAAGAAGTCAAAAATCAAAAATAAAATAATAATAAAAATATCAGACTAAACAGACGTTTAAGGTTAAAAACGAGACTTCGAACTGTACCGAGAAAATAAAGCGAGCATACCGTCATAATCTACGCGAAACGCAGATTCATAAAATGATCGATAAAAGGTGAAAACTTGAAATATTTTCTCGCTAATTTCCCACATAGTGTCGAATCGCTTTTAACAGTCTGTCTATAAAACCGAAATATTTTATTATCGACATATAAACAACTTGGAGCAATGCAAGAAAATAGTAACCAGATAAAAATGAATGAAGTGAAATGTCGGGTATTTTACAACTGAAAGACGATGCAAACTTTGATTTAAACTGACTTTTTCTGGTCAACTTAAATACGACTAATGATGCAAAATGTGATGAATGAAGATATTTACTAATGATTGTGACCAAATAACAAAATATGATATGAAAGTGCGACTAAAACATATTAGGGGCGAAATTTAGGGTGCAACAGTTGTGCCTTGATGAATCAGTCTTCGAGAATCCACAATCAATCGTACTTCGGGCTTGGGAGACTCAAAACTTTTATTGAGGCGCGACACCTGATGCTCTTGATTCAGACTTGTCTCTGCACATGAAGCAAAAGAAAACATGAACATACACCTTTGTATGCGATTAGAAATTAGTGATACATATGCTAAAAATGTTCAAAACACTTGACAATCTTCGCATAGTCAAAGCTCGAAAGTGAGACGTTAAAACCGACCGTATTTCGTGTCCTTGACTTATCTTAAAATGCAAAAATAAAAATGGGATCTTAGGTCAAAAATTGGGGTACAACAAGGAAAGCCCCAAATTCAAACTCCTGAAACCCTAGAATGCTTTCATGGTGGATTTCTGTACAGGCCTTGTTAATTCAATTAAAGCATGCCTTAAGCTTCAGAACACTCATATTAGTCCAAATCAATGATTAAAAATTACAAATAACGCATGGATAATGAAACACGATTATGCAAATTTTCAACAAAAGTAGGACTTTGTTATACCGATTCCTTGTGTATGGAGAGTGGAAAAGGGTTGAGACACGATCAAGAAAGTCCCAGCAAGCCTTTGGAATGGATTGTAGGCCTTGAATCACACTGGAACTATGTTTTCAGTTTCAACCTTTTTTTGTTAAAAATGCAAGTCTGGTTCTTATGCTTGAGCGCCGCTTTCTTGTTCTTGGCTTTAGGGTTATGTTATGCTTATGTATGTGAACGATTTAGGTTAGAAAAACTGGCCTAAAATCCATGTATTCAATGCTTTTGAATTTGTGATTTTCCATGATCTTTTTCAATCTTTTTCATTCCTTTTTGATGCCAATCATTGCCAATCATGTTGAATCTTTCCTTATTGAATAGTGCACGAAATATTGAGTGAATATGCTGCATAAAAAGATTTGGAAAACATGTTTTAGTATTTTTCTTATATTTAATTTTAATTAAATGAATTAATAGGATAATAAACTTAATTAATTAATTAAAAATAAGAAAATAACTCCCCTTTGGGTCAATGGGTCGTGCATAGCTTTTGGGTGATGATTCTTGGAAGAAATTGTGTCCCATTAGCAATTTTGAGGCATTTGAAGCAAAGTTGACTTTTCAAAATTCCCAAAAATTTCCCAATATCCACAAGGCATATCTTGCTCAATTTTTAAGCTTTGATCATGTTCTTGGACATTTTGGAAAGGCCTTGAAGTCCTCTAACCAATGTCTTTGGTCCCATGTCATTTTGATTTACCAATCTCAAGTTATGGTCTTTGACTTAAAGTGCCTTTTTGTTGACTTTTGAAAATGACCTATAATGTTGAGATTGATAACTTTTTGTGAGAGCATTTCTTAGACTTGAAGTGTGAAGATGAGTTGTAGGAAATGTCATTCTCTTCAAAATGAGATTTGGATGGAATTTTTCTGATAAACCATGTGGAAGTTATGCCTTGATCAATTTGCAGTTGACTTTTCCAGCTGTCCAAAAATAGAAACTTTTGCATCTTGAGACTTTTTGAGCCATGCTTTAAGAATCATGATCAAGAATTGATCAAATGATGTTTGTGGCTTCAAAATAAGATGTTGACCAAAAATTTTTACTTTTGACTGTCAAATGACCATTTTGCCCCTGCAGTTGACTGTTGAGCAATTAGGGTTTTTGACTGTGCAATTTTGTGCTATGAGTCTTGAAACTTGGCATAAGGATGCTTGACAATGTTTATAGGCATGTGGGACTTGTTTGGACCCTTGGAAACTTTAACTTCTTTGCCAGAACCAAAACCCTAATTTTTTTGACTGTTAGGAGGCCATTGAACTGTGCAACCCTTGAGAGATTTTGAACCTTAATCTTGGCAAATCTTGAAGAAAAATGGGAGGGCAAATTTTGGGGTACAACACATGAAATGCCTTGTGAGATGATGTTTTAAAAATAAATGAGATTTTGTTGTATGCAATGTGTATGCGCCTGTCATGATGTATGAACATGAAATGCTATTGGGGTATGTCCGAGTCTGGGAAAAAAAATCCCTGACTACTGCTGGAGAATATAGCATTCCTGACTGTTGTAGAGAATTATGGTTCTTCTACTTCTGCCGGGGATGGTGAACGGAAGTGACTATGCTGGAAATTTACTCTTTGTTATTTATAAATATTTTATCAGGGAGAGATTCTGTTGAGAATAACTCTGCAGGGGAATAACTATGTTTGAGAGAGGACATGCTTCGCGGGAAGATTTTTCCGATTCGGGGAAATAAACTCCGCTGGGGGATGAACTTCCGTAGCTGGAGGAATAAATTATGTTGGGGATTGAGCTTCTGTATCTAGAGAAATAAACTCTACTTGGGAGATAAAATTTACTGACCAGCTCGCGATTATGAAATTCGGTTGGGGGATATAGCTGTCAAGTTTCTGAATGACCCTGGCTGGGGAGATTACTTCCTATTTCGGGAAAGCCGACATCAATTATTTTGAATACATTTACTCTGCGGGGAGTGTATGTACTGATGATTATGCTCCAAAGCGGTCTCTGTCCCGGTACCTTCTGTGCAGAGTAACTGTCGGGTTTGACACTTCTTGTTTTTGCCCCTGTTCCTAGAATTACGAGTAATTGTCTTTTTGTTTCTTATGTAAATATTTATGAGTGGCAATCATATCCAAATGCATATGCCAAGAATAAATCATTGGATGTTCTTGCAAAACAAAATAGAAAAAAGAAAAAAAAACTCAAAGTTTCTTGTGAAAATGATTTTGTATTGATTTTTGAAGTTGGCATGTAATAGGCATTTTCGTACAAGGAGGCTGGCGCTCTAGTAAGAGAATGCCGCCGTAAAAATAGAAGCTATACAATTTTGTGTAAAAAAAACAGCTATGTGCAATAATCCCATTGAGTTCCAACTCTGCTATTGCCCTTATATCTTCGAGCGTCTCATCACTTTGCTACTTGGCCGAAAGTTGATTAGATTGATTGGTGCCGTCCGAGCTTGATAGTTGATACCAAAGTCTGGTCGCAAGATGATCCAATGGGACACAGTGATACGCTTTACATACCTAACTTTTTCCTGGACTGCCCTTTCGGGTTTTCAGTCCACCGGGATACCCTTTTTTGCCCAAGCCGCCCTTTCAGGTTTTCGGCTTGTCGAGTGTACAGATTTTTCCATTTTCATCCCTTATTTTTGCCCGAACCCTTTTGGTTCGCCGGGAAGCCCTTATTTTTTCCTAGGCCAGTCAACCTAGCGAGTCTTTTAATCAGGCGTAGTATCTTTTCACTATGTCTGCATTGATAGGGTCAGGAAGGTCGTCACTGTCCATGGTGGTTAGAATCATAGCTCCACCCGAGAAAGTGTTTTTAACCACAAATGGCCCTTCGTATGTGGGGGTCCATTTTCCCCTGGGATCACCTTGCATAAGTATGATGCGCTTGATCACTATATCCCCGACTTGATATTCTTGACGTCTGACTTTCTTATTAAAAGCCTTGATCATTCGCTTTTGATACGTCTGACCATGACAGATAGCGGTAAGTCTCTTCTCGTCGATTAGATTTAGCTAATCAAGTCAAGTTTGGATTCATTCGTCTTTGTTCAAACCTGCATCCTTCATAATCCTGAGAGAAGGTATCTGGACTTTGATGGGT